AATATTAAAAACATCTGAGGGCTGAGAATGCATCCTTGACGGGTACCTATATTACACTTAAAGTATTTGGATAACCCAGTAGGTGTTCTAACACAGGCACACAGTTTATCGTACATTGATGTGATAATAGACAAAAACTTTCCGCAGACACCAATTTCAGCCAAACTCTGTAACAACATATTGTGATCAACATTATCAAAAGCTTTTGAGAAATCTACAAATAAGCAGTAGAACCTTCCTTTCTTTTTACATGCATACTTTTGGATAATGGCCTGTAGTGAAAATATATGATCTGTCGTGGAATAGTTGGGTCTAAATCCAGCTTGAGATTCGTCAATGATATTGTTATCATCACACCACCTCTGTAGTCTAGCATTAAGAATAGATGTAAATACTTTGCATATGGTATCAATGAGTGATATACCTCTATAATTGTTGGCATCATTCATTCATATCACCAGACTTGAACAGAGGACAGATGATACTTTTTTTCCCCATGCTTTACAGACAGTCAGACAGGACACGCCATGCTTTACAGATATTCAGATTGGACACGCCATACTTTACAAAAAGTCAGGCACGCCATGATTTACAGACAGTCAGACATAGCACGCCATACTTTACAGATAATCAGACAGGGCATGCCATGCTTTATAGACAGAAAGGACACGCCATACTTTACAGACAGTCCGACAGGACACTCCATGCTTTATAGACAGTCAGACAGGACACGCCATGCTTTGCAGATATTTAGACAGGACACGCCATGCTTTACAGATATTCAGACAGGACACGCCATGCTTTACAGATATTCAGACAGGACACGCCATGCTTTACAAATATTCAGACAGGACACGCTATGATTTACAGATATTCAGACAGGACACGCTATGATTTACAGACAGTCAGACAGGACACGCCATGATTTACAGATATTTAGAGAGGACACTCCAGGCTTTACAGACAGTCAGACAGGACACGCCAAAAGCTCACTGGCCTTTGTTTAAACTACTATCCTCAAAACAAATTAACACCTGATTTGTTTATCAACGTTCCTGACCCTGTTCAATTATTCTCTTATGGACAAAACAAAATTGCTGATGAATGTATTCCGAAGTCCTTTGCAAATCCGTACATCCGTAAACCATGGTTTAACAATGACTGCAAACAAGCAAGGAAGGCACGGGAAAAGGTCCAAAATGGTCCATAATTTGAATAAACATATGATCTTAAATGCTAAAGCCAGGCGTACATTCAAACAAAATAAACGCCAATCTTGGCATAACTAAGTTTCAAAAAAATATTCACAAACACCGATGTCCAAAGTATGGAACATTATCCAAAAGATCATAGGTAAGGGTTCTAAATCTAGCATCCACCAACTTAAAAATGGTGATGAATTGCAAACTGATAGTTCAGATATTACTAATAAACTGAGAGAAGCTTTGGCTAAACACTCTTCCTCGACTAACTATGTACCTAAATTTAAATAATACCAAAAGCAGCAGGAAAAGAAAACCATTTATTTTAAATCAGATAATGGGGAAGACTACAATGAAGTCTTGTTCATTCATGAGCTCAATGATACTGGGCAAGCTCATGATACTGCTACAGGATCAGATAACATACATGATTGGTTGGTTTGTTGTTTAACGCCGCACTCAGCAATATTCCAGCTATATGACAGCGGTCTGTAAATAATCTAGTCTGGACCAGACAATCCAGTGATTAATATCATGAGCATCGATCCACACAATTGGGATCGATGACATGCATCAACCAAGTCAGCGAGCCTGACCACCCGATCCCGTTAGTCGCCTTTTACGACAAGCATAGTCACCTTTTACGGCAAGCATGGGGTGCTGGAGACCTATTCTATCCCGGAATCTTCACGGGTCGATAACATACATGATCAACTCCTGAAACGTTTACCGGAACCATGTTAAGAAACTCTTCTGCTATTTTGATGATATTTGACATCTGGTAAGTTTCCTTCATCATGGCATGAAGCCATAGTTGTCCCTCTTCCAACACCTGGACGGAATCATACCGATCCCACAAACTATAGACCAATTTCACTGAGTAGCTGCGGTTGCAAAACTATGGAACATATGGTCAATAATAGACTGACTTGGTACTTAGAATCAAATATTTTATCAACAAATATTCAATGTGGGTTTCGTAGGAATCGCAGTACCATTGACCATTTAGTTCGATTGGAGTCATTCGTATTCGTTAAGAATACCATTGTAAACAAACACCATGCAGTGCCCATCTTTTTTATCCCCCCGACATATAATGACGGGGGGATATAGCCATCAGTATGTCCGTCTGTCCGTCCGTCTGCCCGTCTGTAATCATTGTTTGTCCGGAGCATATTTCCTAAACCGTACAACCTAGCTTCCCAACACCTTGTACACTTACCAGTCAGGCTCAGAAGTAGTGCCTTTTACTATTTAGAGATTTTTAGAATTTTATATTTTTGTCGTTTCCTATGGAAATATGATGAACTTAGGAAATTTGAGGTTAGTGCTCTTGTCCGGACCATATCTCCCGAACCATACAACTTAGCTTCTCAAAAGTATTTACACCTATCAAGCAGGTTATGTAGTGGTGCCTTTGCTATTAACAGATATTTCTTTTTTCAATTTAAATTTAAAATTGATGAATTACGAGGGTAATGTCCTCGTCTGGAGCATATCTTCTAAACCATGCGACAGAGATTCACCAACCTCTATGCAAATATCAATCATGTTCACTAGTAGTGCAGTTTGTTATTTATAGATTTTAATCATTTTAATTTGTAGCCCCTGACATATAATGAAACAAGATGTTTAGGTTTGTTTTTTTGTCAATCCCTAGTACATTCTCTTTATGCCTTTGTGTCATGAGGCTACTACAGAGCTATTCATATGCGAATCTGCGAAGTTATTATTATTACAATTTCATGAGATCATCAGAAAGTGAGCTACATGAACCAATATTTAATAACCTTCATTATGTATCTGGTTTTGGCATCAAGGAAACAGATTTCCTCGCCAATCTAAATACATTTGAAGGTACACACAGTTTACCAACATGCCACGTCAGGGGGATGTGTCATCTTCGGATGACTCTTGTTCTATCTAGAAATGGCATATGACATGACCTATTATAACGCCAAATTAGAGGTATTTAATTCACGTTATACCAACCCTGGATGTGCTGCTGTGAACTGCTTCACTGTGAACTGGAAAGGAACAATGAGCTGGATTGTGCCCCCTATTGTCTGATTCCACAAACAATCAAGCATCTAACACAACGTTGTGCACCGGCAACACTTGACGTCCCCGAGTGGCATTCTGCTTGTTTCTGGGCTTGATTAAATTCAAATTCAATGTATATTCCACAAGTTAAAAGTTGTATGTTTGGTGAAACAGATTTGCAATTTAACATGCTTGCTCTTCTTGTAGATTATCGCTGATTTATGTTTTCAATGTTACAGATGTGCCGTTATAATGTAGCGTAACTGTTGGGTATTGGAGAATCAGGATCAGGGTGTCCCACAAGGCAGTATTTTGTCTGTCTTTCTGTTTAGTATTAAAATAAATAGCCTCTCTAAAGTTTTAAATGATTCAGTCATCGTCTCAAACATCAGCGTCTATCCCATCCAACAACCTGAAATTGTCAACTTCTTACACAGTCCACAGCTGGGGGTGTTGCCGCGGCCCTACACGCTCTGATGACCACAACCATCCAATCAACATAATATTTTGCAACATATCAGGACTTTCGGCAAAAATTGATGATCTACATTTGATCGAATTAAAACATGGTGTAAAAAACCTCTCTGCGATCAATATTTGGCCGATTATCAGCAATAGGTTCTACCCGGTAGTAAAGCTTCTTTATTTGGAAGACTGTCTGGAAGTATTGTGGTAAGTGATTAAAAAATCACTTATTCAATACGTGATACGTGATACTTATTCGATACGCTATGTTATCAGCTAGAACTGTATATCCATTATCTTACTGTACTTATGTTAACCTTATCGTCTTGGTATACTAACAAACCATCCACGTGTGGTATAAGCCTACTGTTTGAGTCTCTAATAAATGTATTGAATGACTATGGTGAAGTACACCTGTTGATTGGAGGCGACCTCAACGCCAGAACAGGTACAGATCCAGACTTTATCTCCGATTACAATGCTGAACGGTTATAGGAATAGAAAATTTCTCTGATCTCAGTGACAAAGTTAACATTACACGATATTCATGTGAGAATATAAACTACCGGGCAAAAGAAAGTTTTCACTTAAAAAATAGTTGTATAAAAAGCAAAAAAGCTGGTACAGGTTTGAACCCCCGCAGAAAACATTCGCCCAAATGCAACATGACCACAAACACAACGCAGATTTTCGAACGCAGCTTTCCAAATCATGCATTGTTGAAAACGTGAGACATTGGTCCAAATGCACGTGCGTGATTGTGGCATAAATACCGACGTTGGACAGAGCAAGCATTCGGTAAGCAAAAAACCACCAAGAATATGCCCAGACTTACACAAGCGCAACGAGACAGAGCGATCGGTATGGCCAATATGGGGGCTACTCAACGTCAGATAGCCAGAACCTTCAACTGCTCCCACACCACCATCAGCAAGTTGATAATCCGCTACCAACAGACAGGACAGACTCAAGACCAGCCAAGATCGGGAAGACCTGAGAGTGACAACACCGACCGAAGACCGCTACATCCGGCAGATTCACCTCCGAAACAGAGGTGTGACGGCGACGTCAACAGCACTAGGGCATGCCATCAGCAGACGAACAGTCCTTCGACGACTTCGTACGGCTGGTATACGAGCCTACCTACCCTTCCGTGGAATGGCCTTGACCCGTCTACACCGTCAACGCAGACTGCAATGGGCACGAACTGTACGTCGGTGGCAGCGACGTGACAGGGCGAGAGTGCTCTTTACAGATCAGATGAAAGTCGGTTCTGTCTGTTCAGGAACGATGGCAGAGTTCGAGTTTTTCGACGAAGGGGAGAGCGACTGGCGCCAAACTGCAGTAGAGAAGTTCACCCGTTTGGAGGTGGAGGCGTCATGGTATGGGGTGGCATTTGTGGCCAGATTACAACACGGCTGGTTATCATCCGAGGAAACCTGAATGCTCAGCGATACAGGGATGAAGTGTTGAGACCTGTTGTGGTGCCCTTTATTCAACATCAGCCAAGAGGATTAATTTTGCAACAAGACAACGCAAGGCCTCACACCGCCCGAATTGTTCAAGACTACCTGAACAACGTTAACGTCAACGTATTGCCCTGGCCACCTTGCTCTCCAGACAAGAACCCAATTGAACATCACTGGGATCATCTTGATCGTCAGCTGAGACAGCATGTACCGCCTCCAGCGAACCGACAGGAACTTGAACAGACTCTATTGAACTTATGGAACCGGATTCCTGTTGACGTTATCCGCCGACTGACGACGTCAATGAGGAGGCGTGTGTTGGCGTGCATTGATGCCCAGGGTGGTCACACTCGCTATTGATGACGTGTTACCTGACTACTGTGTCATTAATGGACTCTTCATGCACTTTTTCAATGAACTCTGATTTGTGTAATTTTAAATTTGGACCCCTTGACTCTTCTTCTTTGTGTATTGCGGAGAATGCAATTTCGGCATTACAATGCATTTTCATTCTAATTCATGGAAAATGATTTCTGTTTATAAATTAATCATCATAAATCTCATATATGCCTTTGTTTTTGGTGTTTGGTCAAGTGAAGTCGGTGAAAACTTTCTTTTGCTCGGTAGTTTAGTAAATCAATTTGGACAAAAAAAAACAGTTACTGTACTAAACTTCTGCAGAGCCATGAATCTTAATATATTAAATGGCAGATGTGGTGATGATGCGGCCAAAGGTGAATATACATTTATTGGTGCGAATGGAACAAGTTTCATTGACAATATCATCACAACAACTCGTCTGTTTACATTGTGTTCTCGCTTCAACGTTGAAACTAGGTCAGAATCGGAACACGCGCCAATCACTTGTAGATTGCAGTCACGTGACGTTGATCAACGGGTGCATCTTGAACAAGTCGCACGTGCAAATAATGCAGAGTATCGCTTCATCTGTAATGACAAAAAAAGAGTCTATTATTAGGGATAATCTCTGTAACACTGACTCAACAGCACGGAAGATATATGTTGCTAATGCGGTACATGAACAGACCTTGTGGCACTAACGTTTACAACAAACCTTTGCCTGACAAAGACTCGTTATCACCGTTCAGAGACACTTGGACAACTTAAATCCTTTAAACGACAATAAGATCAGTGAGTGAGTGAGCCGCTTTTAACAATATTCCAGCAATATCACGGCGGGGTAACCAGAAATGGGCTTCACATATTGTACCCATGTCGAGAATCGAACCCGGGTCTTCGGCGTGACGAGCGAACGCTTTAACCACTAGGCTACCCGACCGCCCTCAATAAGATCAGGCATCCTTAAATAATTATATCTTATAAACAAATTATAAAGTAATCAATTTACAAATGTTACTCGTGAAAAAAGAGACAATATCAAGAAGACATAAAAAGCGCACTTGTTAATAATGTACATAATGGTAAACTGTTTTGGTCCTCGTTGAAGCGTTTATCTAACACTCAGCCTACTCCAAACACGGACATCAACATAAACCAATGGTTCAAGTACGTTCATGGTATGTTTAAAACCAAATCTTATACAGTCACCAAAGATGAAGGTATAAACACGAACACCGATCAGCTTGCAGAGTCTATTCTTGACTCTCCCATTCTCCAAGAGGAAGTCATTAACTCTTCTGATTCTTTAAAATTTGGTAAATCAGCTGATGCAGACAAACGTATATCTGAAATGTTTAAATATGCCCAGGATATACTATGTCCAATCTTGACTTTACTATTTAATGCAACGTTTGATGCTGCATACTTTCCTTCTATGTGGACACGTGGAGTTATTGTTCCCCTCCACATAAAAGGTGATACTAAAATACCAGCCAACTACAGAGGTATAAAAATCCTAAGTTCTTTAAGTTAAGCCTACACTAACATATTAAATAAGAGATTACAGTATTGGGGAGTATCATGTGATAAATTTATCGAATCCCAGGCTGGCTTTCGTCGGGGCTACTCTACAGTTGACAATATTTTTATATTGCAATCTATCATTAAGCGATATTTAGGTAAAAAGAGAAGTAAAGTGTATACACTTTTTGTAGACTTCTCCGAGGCTTTCGACTCTATTGATAAATCAAAATTGTGGCGCGCATTAAACTACACTGCGTCTCGCCAAAGATGTATAAAAATATCCAATCTATCTATAAATATGTTATATCTTGTGTTAAATATGGAATCAAACGTTCAGATTTTTCTGGTGTAATAGTGGAGTCCACCAAGGCTGTATACTAAGACCCTTTCTGTTTAATATGTTCATACATGACTTGGCTCTAGAAAATCAACCTGTGAACCAGGCATCCAGTTTCATCCAGAACTACTTCATCTGTTTTAATCATTGTTTGCGCACGATGTAACTTTAATTGCTGATACTGTATTTAATCTACAGAACCGCATTGATGTTCTTATGGATTGGTATCAAGATTATTGTCATAGATATTCATTAACTGCTAACTTTGATAAAACTAAAGTAGCGGTGTTCAATAAGGGAGGAATGTTGTCTAAAAATGAAAAATGTTTGGTATTTTAAAATCACTCAAGAATGTAAAACCATTTGATTATAAAGTATTTTAAAGAGTGGATGAGTATAGTTTTACGCCGCTTTTAGCAATATTCCAGAAATATCACGGCGGGGGACACCAGAAATGGGCTTCACACATTGTACCCATGTCGGGAATCAAACTCGGGTCTTCGGCGTGACGAGCGAACGCTTAAATCACTAGGCTATCAAAGATATTAGATACCAAAGTGGCACCAATATTGTTATATGGAATTTGAATTTTGGGCTTAAATAAATACAAAGAAATTGAACAGATCCATTTATTAGCATGCAAACAATTTTTAGGCGTGAAGTCTTCGACACCCGATCATGTCGTAAGAGGCGAGTGTGGTCGATATCCTTTGTACATTTCAGCATATAAGCGTTGTATTACTTATAGATGTAAGGTTACATCTATGCCTAATAGTCGTTACCCAAGAAAGAACTATAATCAGTTGTTTAAAGAAGCTGTAAATGGCAAGATTAACTGGGTATCGAAAAAAATACCTTATATCAATTTGGTTTCGGCTATATTTGTATTTGAATTTTGTCATGAACAAGAATGGCATTCAAATATTGCTAGTAGTCATAAATGCATACCTATTCTTTATTTAAAGTAAATGTTTGTGTCCCAAGAGACCAAAGAGTTTGTAACCTCTGTAACATTGGTTTTATCGAAAACGAATACCATTTTCTGTTAATTTGTAAAAAATAAATATATTCCGAGAAATTATTATGTCCATCCTACATTAGATAAAGTTAACATTTTGTTGTCATCATGTCATGCTGAAACCATGAAAACCCTTTCATTATATATATTCCATTCCATGAATATTAGAAGCTCGTTAATGTCCATAGAGGACCTGACCACCTAACTGTACAATGGGACGATGGCCTTCAGTGCGAAAAGAATAAAGAATATCAATAGAAATGATTAAGTTGATTGGTCACTTTTTGTGGATGATTTTAGCATATCTTGTGGTGGTAAAAATATGCATACTATCGAAAGACAGTTTGTAGAGACCCAGAATTAGTTTTAGATGATGGCAATCCTATTAAGGTTATATGGCGTCAGAAAACTCTACTCCAACTGTACCGACCACTAATTCGATCCAAACTAGATTATTACTCAATCGTCTATGGTGGAGCCTGTAAAAGTAATTTAAAATTATTGGATACTATTCATCAACCAAGGCCTTAGGCTTTGCCTTGGTGCCTTCAGAACCTCTCCCGTCAATAGCCTATATGTGCAAGCTGATGAGCCATCCTTGAAGCAGCGTCGCATAACAGTAGCCCTGCAATATGTTACAAAACTTTATTCCAATCCATCTAACCCTGCATGTGACTGTTTTTCGCCCTTCCTAAGAGTAATTTTACAATAAGAAAGCATCACTTACTCCACCTCTTGGAATAAGAATAAAACCTACCATTTCTGATGCTAATCTTGACCTTACAATCATATTTCCGACTCACAATTTGTCTTCTCCACCTTGGCAGTTAGTAATCACAGAAGTAGACCTCACATTAACTAAACTAAAGAAATCTGAAAGAAATCAGCTAATTTATCAACAACAATATAATGAACACATGACACTTACAAATCTATATTTACAAATGGATCTAAGGATGGCGACGCTTTTACGTTAAATTAAAGAACTACATATATATATGATAATGATCTTGCTTCTGGCCAGTACGACATCGTCTATTGTTGGTTACCCAGCCATGTTGGAATCACTGGTAACACTGGTCGATGATGCTGAATAAAAGCAGAACTCAACAAATCTGTGACGCCACTTTATAACCCATACAGTGATTCTAAACCTGTAATTATATGTTATATCAAAGATCTAAGGCAAATGAAGTGGGATACCCAAGTATATATTAACAAATTACATGCAATAAAACCAAGTACTGGTTACACCTAATAGGATTGTCAGTCCAGATTTGAAGAGGTCATTAAACGACCATCGATGTTGTATTGGCCATTCTCGATATACTCATGAATATATATAGGCCGTGGCCATTTCTCAGGAATCTGTTTGTAACCAGTTCGGCGCGACTTGTGATAATTTGCTTTACAGGTAATTAGGTCCTTCCCTCTGATCCGCAGCAGGAGAGGCTCATCGTTTTGACGTTGAGCTACTTCGATGACATGCTGCCATCCATCCCGACTGAAGTTTGTGAGGCCTTCTGCTGTCCAGCTTCCTTTTGACTTGAATTTCTTTCATGAATTCAAAGTACACAAGATGCACTCAGGTTGGAAGATGATGGGCTCATAGGATGGACGCCAAATTGGGCGGCAAGCTAGTTCCAAAGATTCAATTTCAGGTTGTTTCAAACG